ACTTTATGGTTTTAAGTTTCACATTTCAGTCTTTGATCCATCTGGTGTTAGTTTTGCTCTATGGTGTGAGGTATGGGTCTCGTTTCATTTTTCTGCAAATGGATAACCAGTTTGCCAGCACCATTTGTTAAGGAGTCTATCTCTTCCCCATTTAGTGGATTTTGGCCCTTTGTCAAAGATCAACTGCTGATAAGTGCATGGATTTATTTCTGGATTTTTACTTATGTTCCACTGGTCTATATGTCTGTTGTCATCATACCAGCCTGTTTTGACTTCTGTGGTTGTATAGTAGGATTTGAGAGCTGGATGTGTGAGACTTCCTACTTTGTTCTTCCTCAGTAGTGCTTTGCTTATCCAAATTCTCTTTAATTTCCAAATAAAATTAGTGATTGATTATTCCATGTCTTTAAAGAGTGTTGGAATCTGGATCAGGATTGCATTGAATGTATAGATTGTTTTGAGTAGTATTGACATTTTCACAATGTTCAATCTTCCTATCCATGATCATAGTATGTTCTTCCATTTATGTAGATCTCCCTTATCTACTTCTTAATTTTCTCCTGACAAATATTTTATACAGAATGGTACTAATAACTCGTAATAAGATAAAGGACCTGTATTCTCCATTGATTGTAAGCTTCTTAAAGTTAATGGCTTGTTGCACTCCCAGCACTTTTTCTTGACCTGCCACATCATTGGGGCTCATTAACTAATATTAATTCTTTTGTCTCTGAACATTGACATTGTTCTGCCTTTGCATTTGGATATTCTGTTCTCTGAGACCAAAATGGCTTTGCCTTCACTTTACATGTCCTTTTGAAGGCATCCTGACTTTCATTTAAGAAATTTTCCTACCTGGGGTGGAAATTCATCTCTTTTGGCAGTAACTTCATGTCCATTTCTACCTGCATTATTGCATATGTCATCTTCTGTTATGTGTTGCAGTTTTCTGCATAATCTGCCTCTCCCATGAGATTTTGACATTTTAGAACACCGCCATATCATGTTGATCTTTGAATTGTCTCCATGTATAGCATAGCAAAAGGAGCTGTGGTGGACTAGTGGGTAAGGCATTTGGTTGATAACCAGAAGGTTGGGAGTTCAAACCACAAGCTGCTTCATGGGAGAAAGGTATGATAGTCTACTTCCATAAAGAATTAGAGCCTTGGGAACCCAACTCTATGAATCAGAATCAACTAGAAGACATTGGGTTTTTCTTTTTCTTTTTTTCCTTTTTAATATCAGCAAAGTGAAAAGGAAAGTGTTTCTTAAGCATCTCATGAAAGCAATGGCTTGTGCTTGAATTTTATTCTCACAGATTGTTCTCAGAAATGCAGCATAGCCCCTGAACTTCCTGTGATACCAGAATTCTTAAGGGACATCTGTACACCTCAGGGGACTGAGGAACCCCTGAAACTTCATGCACAACTATATTCATATGTACTGGTTATTACTGGAGTTGATCCACAATTTATATTAGATGTTCAAAGGTTTCTATGATTCCAAAAATGTTAAGAAGCACTGTTATAAAACTTCACACATCATTCCTTAGATTTCTTTCTTCTTTTATTTTTTTTTTCACCTTTACTGGATAGAAATACCTTTTAAAACTATAAAAGCAGTATAAATTCATTGCAGCAACATTTAGTATACAGTTTCATAAAAGACCGAGAGAACCTTAACCTTCATCATGCCCAGCCCCTCTATCCCCAGCACCGCACACACATATACACACACAGTCAGTAACACCTCTGCTAGGGTTTTGGTATATGTCGTTCCATATTTTCATGTAGTGAAAATAAAATTATACTGATTATATGGCATTTTATTAGAGATTCTATATATAAATTTTAAAAAGTTTGAACAGCTCAACACAAGAGTGTTTGTAACACATAAGCTGGTGATTAAAAATTACAGCACACAGATTGGGAAAAGGTGTTAAATCTCAGTAAAATATCAAAATGACATGCATTTTTTTGCCTCTCAGAATGACACTTGTGCCACACACACACACACACACACACACACACAAACCCAGCTCTGGTGAAAGTTCAGGGGAACAGACTCTTGCACTCACTGCTGGTCGGATTATGGATTGTTATACCTTTTTCCTTTTTTCCTTTTCTTCTCATCGTTTGATTCTTCTGTTGGCTCTTAAGTTTAAAAATTCAGATTAAATGGAACCTCTCTCAACTTTATATCTCATGACTAGATCTTTGTCTTACAAACCGTCCATTCTAATTTTTCTTTATTCTAAATATTTATTTTCCTTCACCTTATTTTTTAAATACTAATCCATTTCAAAATTTTTATTCCTACTATAAAATTTCTATCTTTAATGTTTATGTTTTGTTACTTTTGGTCTTTTGTAGCTCATAATTAATTATTTTCTCTTTCTTCTTCCAGTCTCATTTGTTTCTAAGCCAGTTTTAGCCTTTTGAACTATCTTATTTTTAACATCTTTTGTTCCCTTACTGTATTATTATTTTTCTTTGTTTAATAAATTGTTTAAAGATGTACCATGATAGTGTGTTCTTGTTTAGGAACTCTTCTCAGATGCCCTCAGGGTCATTTAAGTTGACAAATGACTGGCACATTGTTTGCATATAAGAATTGTCAGCCATCATCATCATATTATTGTGAAACCAGGACTCCAGGAAGTCATTTGGCCCGTCCATGGTTACACAGTCGATCATGTCATAAAAGTTACTGAGTAAGTTCTGTTTGACTAAAGATAACCATGGACAGAGAACTACTGCAGATGGAACTCTGGGGAAGTTTGCTTCAGTAAACACAGATTGAATGTGACATCTCTCCAAAGCACAAGCTGAGATCTAGCTTGTATCACATTGTCAGTTAGGAACCATTTTACTTAACCTGAAGTTTTACCTCTTCTAAAAAGACCTTTATTGAGTGTTCTAAATTGGTAAAGAAATCCTTTTTCCAAAGTCTAAGAAGTTCAAACAGGCATCTAGCAAGAACTGGAAAATCTGCTTGCTTTATATCTTATATATTACTGCCCTTTTTTTAGGAGCAAAGGCATATGTTTTGAAGACAGACTATCTTGAGATTGAATCTAAGCACTGTCACTTCTAGCAAGAGAAGGCACACTGTGCTGGGGATGAACAGAGATTGACAGAGGAAGCTGGGCCAAAGGAACAATGGAAGGATTGGATCCTGGCTTGATCTTTTATGTGGGGGTGGGATAGTGGTATGAGACAGAATTCATTGTATTTGCTCTGATGGAGATGTTATAGTCCAGGGTGGTGAGGAGGACATGGTGAAGTGTAAATGTGTGAGGACTGGGGAGGAAGGACCCAAGCCACCTGGAGGAAATGAAGCCCTTCTGTTTGATACTGTTACCTGGATCTGGACATATGCAGGCAGATGAGAAGCAGAAGCAATTTTTACTTGTATAGAGTCATCTCTTGCTTAGACAGATTTAGAAAGACTTTGATTAATTCTCTGGTGGTATAGTGGATAAGAGACTTGACTGCTAACTGGAACACCAGCAGTTCAATCCCCCCAGCTACTCCATGGAAGGAAGACTTGGAGATCTACTTCCGTAAAGATTGATAGCCTCAGAAACTCATTGGTGGTTGCTATGAGTCAGAAACAACTTGATGGCAGTGCATTTGGTTTTTCTGGTCTTTTGATTAATGACCATTCACTGCCACCCAACTCACATGTGCACATAACTGCACACTTGTGCACACTTACAAACACACCTAAACACTCTTCCATTCACTCTCATGTTCTCTCTCGTTCTTTCACTCACTAAACTATAAGGTTCTGGAGCCATCTCAATAGTGCCTGGTTAGTGTACTACACCACTCATTAGCTTTGTCACCTTTGCTAAGCTGCTTCCTTATTCTTTTTCTGAAAGATGAGAGAAATCAGTACTACCATAAGGTGGTTATGTGTGACATTAAATGAGACAAAACGTGACAGGTACTTTCACATGGTGGACAGTGATGGACTACCTTTATAGTTGGAGGACTGAGGCTCAAAAAAAGGAAAGCAACTTGCCCAACAACCCACAAATGGAGAGCCACAGAGTCCAGAGTCACATATAACTCCCTAGGGTGCTTTTCTCTGTACCTGGTCCCAGCCTTTAAGACTCAGTTTCAAGACCACCCTTAACTTTCCATTATGTAGTACATATCGGAGAATGGAACCTTGTCTTCTGGTTCAACAGATACTCTGATTTTACTAAGAATTTATGCTTGCTACACCAGGTTTAAGGAGTTCTGGTGGCATAATAGGTAAAGAATTCAGCTGCTAACCAAAGAGGTTGTTGGTTCAAACCTACCCACTGCTCCACAGGAGAAAGATGTGGCAATCTGCTTTTGTAAAGATTTATAGCCTTGGAAACCATATGGGGCAGTTCTACTCTCTGCCATAAAGGGTCATTAGGAGTTGTAATCGACTCGCTGGCAGTAGGTTTGATATTTTTGCTTTTACGTCATATTTAGAATAACACAGCCTTCTTTTATGGATCCCATGTGCTGAGTTACTTCTCTCCTTTCACTGTACTCTAGGACTTTGTTTATTTATCCTCAGTTATACCCTCAGTGCCTCATTGTGGAGACACATAGTGGGTACTCACTCAATTCAAGTTTCAGAAAGAACTTCCCAATCCTGTTATTGATTGGAGTCCAGTTGACATTAAAAGGAGAAAAGGAACAGAACAAACACTGTCATCAGACCACAAGACCAAATTTTGAAAGTCGAAGTCGTTATAGTAATCAATCTTTGAAATACATGTTTTCCTGAGTGTGAATTTAAGGCACATAGAAGTAAAAGGGTTTGCTGCATAGCAACAGAAAATCTGTGACATAGTGCAGAACTAGTATTTCTTCTCTGTCTGAATCCCTGAGCTTCACACACACACACACACACACACACAACTACCCTAAGTGCAAGCCCTTACAACGACACACCCACAGCCTTCATTCCTGGATATACACACTTGCATATTCTATGTGTCTATTTTTTAGCTTGTGAAGAAATATGGGGACCTGTTTAGCGTACAGATGGGGTATGTGCGTGTTGTTATTGTATCTGGACTGCCCTTAATCAAAGAAGTCCTTGTCCACCGGAACCGAAATTTCCTGAACCGCCCCATGTCTCCTATGCAAGAGCATGTCTTTCAGAAAAATGGTAAGATTTTTTTTTTTTCTTTTTCAACTTTTATTGTGCTTTGTGTGCAAATTTACATAACAAACTTGTTTTACATTCAACCATTGATGCACATGTGATTTCATGGCCCAATTATGGTCTCCAACCATAAAAAACTCTCCTCCCCTGTCCTCTACTGTGACAAACCCCTCCCTGTGCCCTTCTCATTCATTTCTTATTTGTGTTATTTGTATACTCTCCCTCTTTTCCTTTGTTAAATTTGCCAGTGGTTTGACAATTTTATTAATCTTTTCAAAAAAACAACTTCTAGTCTTGTTGATCTTTTCACTTTCTATTTTCTGTTTCATTTATTTCTGCTAGAATCTTTATTATTTCTTTTCTCCTGGTGAATGTAGGCTTTCTTCTTTTTTTGCTGCTCTTTTTTCTGATTTTTGCAGATATTGTGTTAAGGGGTTGATTTTGGGTCTTTCTTTCTTTTCTTTTTTTGATGTGCACATTTATTGC